AGAGAAACCCTATCTAAAAACAACAACAACAAAAACAAAATAAAACAAACAAAAAAACACAGGCTAGATGAACAGATTAAGAAATAAAATCAATCTATTTGTTGTCACAAAAAAGTCAGCTTTTTTAAAAAAAGTGTGTGTGTGTGTGTGTGTGTGTGTGTGTGTGTGTGTGTATGTGCGCGCGCGCGCACGCGCTCAAGTGTGTGCCATGGCAGGCATGTGGAGACCAGAGGACAACCTGTTAGAGTTGTTTCTTTCTTTTCATCATGTGGGTCCTAGGAACTGAACTCAGATATTCAGGCTTGGCGGCTATCACCTTTGCTCTCTGAGTCATCTTACCATCCCTGAGGAATATTTTAGACTGAGCTGAGTCTGTATTTTGAAGTAGAAGCTGGGCAGTGGTGGTGCACACGTTAATCCCAGCACTCAGGAGGCAGGGGCAGGTGGATCTTTGTGAGTTCCAGGCCAGCCTCGTCTTCAGAGCTAGATCCAGGACAGCCAGAGCTATACAAACAAACACTGTTTCAGAAAACAAAAACAAACCATGAAAGTCAGTTGTAGCTGAGCGATGGTGGTGCACTCCTTTAATCCCAGCACTTGGGAGGCAGAGCCAGGTGGATCTCTGTGAGTTCGAGGCCAGCTTGTTCTACAGAGCAAGATCCAGGACAGGCACCAAAACTACACAGAGAAATCCTGTCTTGAAAACTAAAAAAAAAAAAAAAAAAAAAAAAAAAAAAAAAAAAAAAAAAAAAAAAAAAAAAAAAAGTCAGTTGTAAAGACAGGCAGTATCTTAAAGTGCAATGATGGAAGAAAGCATTTCAAGCAAATGGGACCAAGAAGCTACCAGCTGTTGACATCCTAACAACTGACAAAACAGGATTCAAACGAAAACTAATTAGAGAAGAAAAGGAACGGCACTTCACTCTAATCAAGGGATCAATTAATCAGGAAAATATCACAATACTAAACATACTATGCAGGAAACTCTGGTGCACCCAATTTGATAAAAAGTATACTAGTGGAATTAAAGACAATGATTAACACAAACTCAGTAATAGTAGGCAATTTCAACACCCCACTTTCTCCAACAGTTAAGTCATCAGGTCAAAAAACAGAGAGGCTTCAGAATTAAATGACACATACATCAAATGGACATAACAGGTATGTGCACCCAGATGTCAAAGAATATGCATTCTACTCCACAGCACACGGAAGTGTCTCTAAGTAGAGGGCACACTGGACACAAAGACAACCTTAACAAACACAGGAAAATGGAAATAATCCCAGATATCTCATTAGGCAATAAAACTTAAAATCTTAAGGAAAAAACTCTACTAAGTTTATTAACTCACAGAGATCGAACAACTCATTACTAAATGATGAATGGGTCAAAGAAGAAATCAAGAAAGAAACTTTTCCTGAATTTAATTAATACTGCAAACACAAGACAACAAACAAGAAGTTCTAGCTTCTCTGAGGTTATGAACTGTCTGTTTATCCTTTGCTTTGTGTCTAATATTCACTTATGAGTGAGTATATACCATATTTGTCTTTTTGGGTCTGGGTTACCTCACTCAGGATGATTTTTTCTAGTTCTATCCATTTGCCTGCAAATTTCAATCCACAACCCCAGAGAAACTAGGTATAGAGGAAGACCCTAAGAGGGACAGGCATAGATTCCCCCAGGAAGGAGAAAGGGTTAAGATCTCCTGGGTAAAATGGGAGGGGGAGTAGAAGAGAGGGGATGGGAGATGGGAATATGAAAGTTCTAGATGGCCAAGTTGAGGGAGGGACAGAGAGGGAGAGCAATGAAAGAGATATCTTGACAGAGTGAGCCATAAATCTGGTGTTAGGGAAATCAATCCCCAGGAACCCACAAAGATGTCCCCAGATAAGACTTATAGCAATGGTGGAGAGGGTGCCTGTACTCGGAATGGTGACTACCCTAATTGTCAGCATAGAACTTACATCCAGTAACTGATGGAAGCAGATAGAGACCCACAGCCAAGCACTTGGCCAAACTCCTGGAATTCAGTTGAAGAGAAGGAGGAGAGATTATAGGAGTAAGGGGGTCAAGATCATGGTGGGAAAAACCACAGAGAAAGCTGACCCAAGCTAGTGGGAGCTCACTCAGAGGGCCTAGTGTGGTTCAGGGTTCCCAGCTGTCAGTCCAGAGTCTGTGACCAGCATGGTCAGCATGGAACAGTGACCAACAAGATAACATAAAGTTTTAAAAGTGGAACTCTATGTCACTGACAACCAACAGTGGTGTAACTGGACTTAAGAACCACTCAGTAAGAGGGAAATACTGCCTGCTCTTGGAAATTTAGCCAGCTTCCCAGAGCTAGTGAGTCCATAGACCTTAGAAAAGAATCTATCTATTACCATCAATTTTCTAACTAGCATAATTCCTGACTACATTCTAAATTTACCCTTATATGCACAGATCAGTGTAGCTACCAGTCATCATCAGACAAGTCTCTTTCTACAGCAAATTGAGACCGTAACACAATACCACAACTGGACAGAATGCAGAGATCAAGAGATTATGGCGAGCACAACCATGATGAATATATCTATATCACAGCTCCCACATCTGTGGTTCATGGGACATTATGGAAGAGATGTGGAAAGATTATTAAGAGCTAGAATGTTAGACTTTCCTAGAAATGGCTGAATAAACAAGATCTGATCAATGAAAGTAACAATGGACATGTTATCATGGGAGGGAGAAAAATCTCAGAATCCCATCTGTAGACAAAGAACTATAGCCAACTAATGTCTATTGGGAGGAGAATTAGCCTCTCTGAGGGATGAGACCCCTTATGGGTTGTCCAGTCCAGAGTGATCATGTTTGAAACCATATGTACACCACCAACAAAAACAGACTCAGCAGTATTTATATACAATTGACATTCCAAAGTATATGGGGGGGGGGGAATCTCACAAGTTCCCACTCTTAGACAAAGAGCTATAGGCAAGTAGTGGCTGAGAGGCACTATTAGTTTTTTCCAGGGTGGAGCCATGGGATAGGTTTTCGAGTAATCCCAAGCTGTCAGCCCCAAACACATATACATATGATCAACAGTAAATGGATTCAGAAGGTTATATTTACACACACACACACACACACACACACACACACACACACACACACACACACTGACTGGATAGGAGTCACAAGTCTGAGAGGAAGTAGAAGCAACATGGGAGGAATTGAGAGAGAGGAGAGTGAATATGACTATATTACTCATGTATTTGAAATTCTCAAAATACGTGACATCATAGTTATTATTGAAAAGACAAAAGATAGCAAGTGCTTGAAGAATATATAGAAAAGAGAACTCTTAGCACTTGTGAGAATACAAATAAATACAACTATTATAGAAGAGAGTATGTAGATATAAAGATGGAAATCACACAGAGTCTGAACTATATTATCTTTGGGATTTTTTTTTTTTTTTTACTGCAGAAAGACATTTGATTGTAAAGGCTGCTCAGTTAAACCAGTATGTATATTTTAAAGGTATCTTGCCTTCAAAATTTGAATCTAAGGATATGTTGCTTTGGAAAGGAGGCTCTGCTTTTGTTTCCACAGGAAGCAAGAGGCTATGGATTTGTTCCAGATTAAGATACATCAGCTACAAAAAAATTAAGAATACAGCCACCATATGGTATAAATTCCCCTGAGTATACACTAAAAGAAAATGAAATCATTACACAGAGAAAGTATTTGTTTATACTTATTGCAGCATTATTCCTAATAAAGTACAGAAAATATAACTGTCCATCAGTAGATGTTATAAAAAATGTGGCATATATATATGATGGAATATTATTAAGCCACAAAGAGGGTAAGATCCCATCAGTTTCAACAGCAGGGATGAGTTTGGAGGACATTATGTTAAGTGAAATAAACCAGAGACAAAGACAATAATACTGTATAAGCTTACTTGTGTGGGTTGTAAACGAATCAAACCACACAGGTATAAAATAGAATAGTGGCTGGGGAAGGAGGAACATTTCTTAGTCAATGAGTACAAAATTATAGTTGAGTAGGGGGAAAATTCTTGTGTTCTGCTGAGCACTCAGAAACAAGGGAAAACAGTTACATATAGGTCCAGGAATATGGCCTATGTAATTTTCTGAGTTAATAATACTGTACTGTATACTTCAACATAGACAAAAGAGAGTACTTTGAACGTTCTTACCATAAAGAAATGGTAAATGTTGTTTGAGGTGGGAGATGTTTTAGTTACTTTAATTATTATACAATGTAAATATGTGCCAAAGGATTATGCCATTTTATCATATGTACAGGTATTATATATCAGCAGAAAAAAATTTGAGATTAGTATGATGTGTTCACCAAGGAAGTTCTTTATAGTTAGGAATAGGGGATCATTTGCGGGAAACATTGAGAAAAGTTCTATATAACATAGACACCATGGCCATAGGTTTCAAATTACTTCACAGACAAGGGAAAAAATTAACTTTTCAAAGATAAAAATGAGTTAGTTTTGATATTACCATGGATGTTTGTGATCTGACCTTTTTATATATCTGCACCTTGATCTTCATAATTTTAAAAAGCAAGTTCTAAAGCTTATCTTTCCTTTAGGATGACAAGAAGAGTCACATGACTTCCAGAAAGGTGGGCTATGTAACTTTCATGGTCTAATGGGATCCTGCCAGTGATTCCTGGAATCATATGAAGATACTCTCTTTCAAGGGACATCTACTTTTATCTCATGTACATGTTCAGGTCATTGCTAAGCATCTGTGAATGGTCTCAGAAGTGCTAGAGTTGTAAATTCAGGACTGTTACAAATGATTACACTACATGCAAACTTCTAGAGGATGAGGCATTTGTCAGTCTTTTAGTGGTCTATCCACAACACTTGGTAAGAATGAATAAATGACACACTAATTAAGAAAGAGTAAGTAATAATTTCTTAAGTGTTTGAGTCTTCAGTTTCTAAAGACATCATGTTCAAGTATGAGATTAAACACCAAGTTAATTTTATTTATAAATCACAACACATTTTCCTTAATAAAAAATAAATAATATGGATTGAAAAAAGTACTTTCCATTTCTTGTTGGGTACAGTGACTCTTCTATTTATTCTAAAGTAAATACAGTATTGTGGTTTTATTATTAGTATGTCATGAAAGTCTATTTCCACCCATCCTTTCTTAGTACAAGAAGTAGCAATAGGAATAGTTACTAAAACTATGTTCTATAACCTAAAGTATTAAAGTCAGTATATAAACACAATCGTTTCATCCATTACCTCATTCACTTTTCACAAAAAACTAGTCAGAGAAATATTAACTCTATGTTTTGTAGATGAAGAACCTGGAATTTAAAGAAATATATTTTACTCAAGGCTACAAAAATGGTAGAACTCAGACAAAATCAGAATAATTCTAAAATAACTGGCTTACCTAGAGAAACAGTTCATGTACTAGTTGAAGACTCATACTACACAACAGCCTGCCCTCCATTCCCAGGTGTAAGAAAATATTTACCCCTTCTTTCAAAATTAATCTAATATTTGGAATGATAGTAGACTCCCTTGAAGGTCACCTGTAATTCTGATACATAATTACAGACTGATAGCTACAAGTGTTCTTCCTGGGCATCTTTGGGTTGAAAACTATGCTTCCAATGTTGACCTACTATGCATATACCCATGAGCTTTTGTTCCTCCTATAAAACCTCATACTCTGAGGCAAGACTGGACAAGATTTATTTTTGGCAATCTTAAAAATACCTATTTGGTACTTTGTTAATAACAAGTTCTTTTTTTTTTTCTTTCTTTGACACAAGGTCTTATTAGAAAGCCTAGCCTGGAACACAGATATCTGCTCGTCTTTGCCTCCTAAGTGTTGAGAGTCAGGGGTGAATCAATAAGCTCAGCTTCATAAACAGCTCTTAATAAACATTATCAAAAACTGCTAGTGTGAATAAACTGAATTTTTTTAGATGAGAATTTCAATAAAAATTTACGTTCAACTCTTCTGCCAATTATCCTATAATTAAAAATACACAAATACCCAAATTGTTTTATAATTGTAAACATTTTATTTTGGTTCAATTTTAATAAAAAGTTCCAACTGTCATAAACCATTATTAAATATATCTTATAATTACATAAAATATAAAATTTATAACTCTCATGTGCTATGCAAATAGGCTTTGTTTACTTTTTGTGCCATAATTTTAGGTTATCTTTACTATAATATAGCTTTCTACAATTCAAATTAGCATATATGGCTATACAAGGTAAAGTAATTCATCTTAAAATGCACAAGTAATTAAAAAAATTTCTCTAGAGCTATGATTATAGAAATATATGAACATTTGATTTGTACAAAACGATGCCCTGACAGGAATTATTTTATTTCCTTACATGATACTGCATTTTGCTTTTTCAGTAACAATAAAATCAATTGGAAAGGACAGATTTTAATCTGAAATGTTACTGCACATTCTTTTCTTGGAAGAGAAGAGTATGTGGCAATTTATGCTATGCATTAGAGATCAGATTCTCGCCCTAGGTTTACATGATTGATGGGTTTCTATTTGAACAGGCATAAATGTGAATAGCAACTGTGAAATGTTTACCAGAGAGACACAGCTAATGTAACTTCAACCAGTTTCTCCTTTCATCATCAGCATGAAATTGATTCTACTATAGCAAAATGCGTTTGAAACCACACACAAAATTTCAGTATACAGCTTAAATGTAACACAAAGCAAGAGACACACACATTCAAAACATACATCTAACAGCTGGTCAGATATAGATGTTAATGATTCACAGGAAAGCCCAATCAATAGACCATTTTTGAAATAACATGTCTGCTCAATACACAAATCATTCAGTTTTGAGTCACAGCTAAACTCTTGAGGCTAGAACAGATCATTCCATACTGGATGTTTTAAAAATATATATAAAAAAATAACATTCTATATAGACCATATACACAAATGCTATTTATTTTACTAAGCCAGACAACTGTTCCTGAATAGATTGTCTGCCTTAAAAGAAAAAAAAATTCAATAGACTCATTCATATTTGATAGGAAGAAAGTCCAGTTGTATCTCCTGGCTTGATTTAAGTGCACTCAAAAAAGAAAAGGACATTGCCCAGAACCCTGGTGCTGTGATTAATATTTCTTACAATGCTGCTTCTGTGAATGACAATCAAGCAGTTTTTCCCCCCATACAGGATTTATTGAAACTAGAAGATCTGAAGGCACAAACTCGCCTCACAAAATCAACTTAATGGATCTGTATTATGGATACCCAGAAGCACAATCCTGGGTAAGTCATCCCAAATACCAATATCCAACCTTCCAACCTTTAGGGTAATTATGGTCATAAAGGGAATATGAAAACCAACTGATTCTGGATCCCATGCCCACGTTCTATATATACTTTCACCTTTAACATCTAAAGGAAATTCTAAAAGTACAAATTACTATTTCTGCTATTTACTGGGAACATTGATGACCAGAAATCTGAAACAATTCAGTTACTAACAGCAGAGCTGAGAATCAAAGCTAGATTTAATAGACTACACTCTTTGTGAGGTGACAGATAAATGAAGTAAACAGGCAAATATAAAAATATAAAGACCCAAGGCTGCCAATTCTGATAAGAATGGAGTAAATTAAGCCACAATAATTCTTCCAGTGATAATAATAAAAAATTAAGTAAAAATACTGGAAAATGAAAAACAAAACAAAACAAATATTCTTTGTAGTGGGTAGCCATTCCAGCTTTGATCTGGAAGTTCCAACCCCCATTGAGACTTCGGCAACTGTCACGCCTACAAGGCGGGGCCAAGGGAGGCGCCTGGGGACCCAAGATCTGGATCGGCGGGCGCTCTCTCTGTTGCGGGACCCTGGATAGTGGAGGTGGACCGAGCAGAGCTCCAGAGAACACCGCTGGACTGTGAACGCCTTCCCCAGACTCCGCGACCTACCTATTCCTTAATTTGTAAGTTACGCCATTAAATAAATCTCCTTTTAACTACGTGGAGTGGCCTTAATAATTTCACCAATAATTCTTCTTGAGGATATCCTGGAGATTAACCAAAAATAAATAGACAGAGATGGAAAAAAAGAGATTATCACTGGGTAAAATCTGTATTTTCAACCATAATGAAAATCACTGGACATAAACACACATAACATGGAAGATGAAAGAGCTCAGCACCAGCAGGAAGACAATAGAGGGCAAGAGGGGTGAGTATGCTCTAGATAAACTAGATATTGATGCGTGAAGACATAGTTAATACATACTAATGAAAGTCATGGAAGTGGATACTACTTAACCAGAATGTTGTATCACTATCTTATTTGTTAGAAGTATTGAATTCCAGAACTCAGATTAGAGAGGATAAATATAAGCTGAGGATAGAAGAAAGGAAGAAAGAAGGAAAACCAACAGAAATTACAAACTCACTGTGGTAACCCTGCACTCTACGTGACATATACATATGTGTTCACTGCTTTGGGAAGATGGCCAGACCCCATGGACAGTACATTGTGGCAGTAAAAACAGCAGTTCTCCTAGCAGAAAACCTGAAGTCTGAATTTCCCTAATCAGAACTAGCAAAACCAAAACCTCTGGCTTTCCACAGAAGTCTTCAGAGGGTCACACAGGATCACGCTAGGATCAAGGAAGAGCATAAACTGATCTGTTTTAATAAAACATAAAAGTAAGCCTTCAAGAGACACTTAGCAACTCCAGTGCTTAAGGTAAAAAACAAACACAAACAAAAATAAAAAGAAAAACAACTTTTGGTGGAAGATAACAAAATTTAGTATCAATAGTATGCCATCTACATTCAATACATACAACAAAAATTCCTAGACATGCAAAAAATAGGAAAGTACCAAAGAGTAGCTAATAGAAAACAATGAGATTACTAATAGAACTATGTTATGCAGCTATTATTCAGGAAAATTATCATAGGGAATTTCAGAGGAGGAGAAATAAAAAAGTTCAAGGGCACTTAAAAATGGTTAATATGGTAAATTTTATGTCATATATATGCTATCACATGAAAGAATTAAATAGAAACTATAGAATTGAAAAAAAAAGTGTTAAAATGAAAAAAAATACTAGATGGGCTTTAAAAGCATATTGGAGAAGGAGAGAAAAGAGTCACTGAACTGGAGGTTAAGCATACACATTTCAAAGAACAGTCAGTAAAGAACAGTTGAAAAAATATTAGAGGAAAATAACAAGGTCTGAAACCTTCACAACCAGGGACAATATTGAACTATCATATTTAAATATACAGTGGGAAAAAAAGAAAATGGAGAAATATTTGAAGAAGCAATGAAAAATTCCTTGTGTTTGGTTTTACAAATCAATTTTTAGAAATCAACAGGTCAGTAAGAAGTCTACAAAGAAAAAAGCACACAGTTACAGACTGCCACACTGTCAAAAATAAAGGAAAAGAAGTAAGTGTTAAGTTGGGCATGGTGGCACAGGCCTGTAATCCTTGTAGTCAGGAGAATTTTAAGTTTGGGGCCAGCTAGAGCAATATAGTGAGATCCCATTTCCAAAATTAAGAAATAAAGCATTATTAAGATAAAGGAATAAAGTGTTTGATCAATAAAGTGTTAATCTTTCAGTATACAATATATACTGAAGAATGAAGAAATATACTTCAATATACACAGGATATTAGGATATGATAAAGATGACATTTTCAACCAGCGAAAACAAAGACAGATGCTGCTAGAGAAAGAATAGAATTCCAGATAAAGCTTTTATGTATAAAAAAATCAGACCATTAACCAACTGCTTTCTGAGTAGATTTAAGGCCTACTACACAGCAGGAAATATATACCCGATACTGTAAATCTGGCCAAGAACCCATGGCGGCAGAGCTCACAGGCCCCAGATTGCACCTACTACTATTACTTTACTAAATGGGCACAGGATCAAGCTGCTCTCTCCATTTTTATCTCTACACTCATGGATAAGTACAGCCTAAGACCTCATCAGAGAAGTTCCTTTGGTGGTGGACAGTGGGTGATACACAACCCCGTAACTGGTTAAAGTAGAAAGAATAAATGTCTGTGAATGCTGAGTCACAAACGGGATGCCTACCTGTATCACCTCCATCACCAGAGAGGGGGAGTGCACAGTGTAACAGCAGAGGTCAGAGAAGACTGCTGCCCAACAGTACGTTCTGCACAAGTCAGGACCCTGTGCTCATGAGCTCAGAGGACCTTTAGTTTTCTACAAAAGACTTGCTCAGACTCAAACCAGGTAGCATTCCAGCATGGAGAGAAGAGGGGTTTTCTAGGGAGGGAGAGGAAGTTTTCTTAAGGATGTGGTCTGTGTAGAACTACCATGTTCCAGTGCGTGGTTCCACACCCATGAGAATCCGAGCAGCTCTAACTGGACTCAGTAGGTAATGAAAAAAGGACAGGAAGTTGAGAGATGGTGAGTGGAAATGGGTCTGGAAGGAGTGGGGGGGGGGTGACTATTATCCAAAAGAAAAACACCCAAAGTTCATAGGCAAAGTAAACTACAGAAACATATTTCAAATATGAAAAAAGTCACATTTTATTAGGATGAGATGAGCCTAAGATCAGTAAAAAAGAAGTAAACAGTAGAAAGACCACTGTCAAAGGTTACTAACTGGATCCATTGTGTGCAAATAGATGTAACGGTTTCTGCTTGTGAGTGTGTTATGTGAGTATGTTATGTGTTACCACACATACCTGGGCGTGGCCAGATTATTTCTGACAGAAAGAGAATATAGGAGATTTGTGTTATAGGAAGATCAACTTCTACACTTTTCTATTTTTGTTTTTCATTTTTAATCCAAATGTATGTGGTGCTTTTGTAACTTAGAAATTAAGTCCCATGCAAACATATTTCCGAAGAACCCGCACCCCCAGTGACATGCTGACTGTGTGAACCAACACCTGCGCAGTTCACTGGTTGCTCCTCTCTTCTCTCACCACAGATGCTCCATGCTGAATTTTATTACACTGTTAAAATATTTTTTAAAAGTGAGTTGCTTGCTAAAAACCCAGAAAGACTCTGTAGTAAGAGAAGTTAAGTTAAATAAATAGCTAAATTTTACCTGGGAACTTATTTTCCTGTCTTTAGCTTTTGAAATAAACAGAGGAAGAAAGGCAGTATATATAATGCTTACTTCTCTGAAGTAAGAACTAGTTTTCTTTAGGATCTAACTTTCCTTTACTCTGGGACTCTGGAAGTAACCAACTCCCATTCTCTAATGCTCATCACACTGAGACCTCCCCATGGGTGTTGCCTCTACCCAGAGCAGCATTTCTTACAGAAAACTGCTCTCTCTGTCCTATAAGTCTGCTTATAGGAGCAACACTTGTACCAAACAGCTGTGTTCTGTAAACAAGTCAGATCTGGCTGGGCGGTGGTGGCGCACGCCTTTAATCCCAGCACTCGGGAGGCAGAGCCAGGCGGATCTCTGTGAGTTCGAGGCCAGCCTGGTCTCCAAAGCGAGTTCCAGGAAAGGCGCAAAGCTACACAGAGAAACCCTGTCTCGAAAACCAAAAAAAAAAAAAAAACAAGTCAGATCTGACATGGGACAGTAGTGATTAACCTTCGGACTGTAAGTTACACTATCAGCTTACAGCAGGTTGCATCCTGAATAGGCTTCAAGAACTTTCTTCTCCAAGACCTAGTATCAAGAAGATCTTTTTTTCCAATGGTCATGAACAGTGAAGCTCATCAAAATAGCAGTGCAGAAATAGAGAAGACATGATGATTTCATTTAAGTGCCTTGGTGCCACAATAGTGTAGGTATTATTAAACAACACATTCTGTTTTGTTCATGTTCATACATGTCTATGGCATAAATATTTTCAAAACATCCAGGTGAACAGACATACCTAGAGAAAAGATTATCAATAGCATAATGTATTAGGACTGAAAAGACAGTTCCTGATTAATCACAGTGCCATAAAAGACCTCCATCTTGTCCCTCAATCACGAACATCACTAGGAAATACTCAGCCTTAATAGGAAAATCCTATTGATAACAAATCTTTCAAGTCTTAGATCTACTATGTTTCCAATCCTTATTCCTGAAATGTGGGCATCTGGGGGGGAAGTACAATTCATAATAGTTCCCCTAGGTTTTTACCAGTAAGGCAAGATATGTCTTTGCTACCAATATAAAATCCCTTTTGCTTTTTTGTTTATTGATACAAATCTCTTATGTTTTAAGTTTAAAGTTTCCTGATTAGATCAGTATATCTCTAATATTTTGTTACAAGGTATTTTATTATTAAAAACTATTTTATGATACCCATTTCTAAAAGATTCTATTCTGAAGATTAAATAATAGTTAACGTTACAAAGCTGAATATGAAAGAAGAAAGACTAAATTCTACAAACAGGGCCATAACCTCCGAGTGAAACAAATCTCTGCTCTAGCATTTTAGTGTAAGACTTAGAAGAGCCAGTCGATTCTCTCCATAGATGCACAAAGGACTAAGGATGTGATGATGCATTCTGTGTGTCAGCCCTACCTCTCCCAGTTCCAGCAATCATAGGGAAATCAGATACAAAACAAAGCCTTAAGGCTGACATGTGACTATAAAGTTCCAGGAAATAGAGAAGCTTCCTCACAGTCAAACTGCAAGTTCTCTAGTTGACGTCTATACAAGCTTAAGGACATCCTTAGCAGGAAGGTGTGTAACGTAGTTGGCTTCAGAATTGCCTTAGTTTTTAAGAACATTCCTTTTGTATGCTGTCTACAAGTCCATGTGCTTCTTGTAGTATTCAGAACACATTTGCGGGGTGTCCACCATAGGTAAAGAATAATTTGAGGCAGACTTTACCTGTGTTTCGGTTATTTTGTATGTTTTACACAAGAACAGAAAACCACAAGAGCCTCTGAATAGATTTTGATGTTTCTCCTCCCTTCCCTTTTATACACTTCAAAGGGAGAAAACATACACAAAATCCTTTTTTTACAATGCTGCTAGTGTACAATCTTATGACAATGCAGAGTAACATGGGCACGATGAAAAGATGGGATGGTGAGCATGTCCTTGTGATGTATACCAAACATCAAGTTAAAATTTACTAGAATAAACAACAGAATTAATGTTCAAACATATAAAAAACATGCTCAAATAGAAATATTTTAAAAAGATCAAATAAAGCTATTCTAAATTTTAATTTAATTATTTTCTCTCTCTCTCTACTTGTGAAAAAGAAAGAGCCCAGGATTACACAGTATAGTAAAGAAAATATTATATTAGTTTTTTTAAAAATTTTGAATATTTATTTAGTTTTATTTTATGTGTACTGGTGTTTTGTCTGCTTGTTTGCCTGTGTACCAGGGTATCAGATCCTTTGGATCCCATGCCTCTGCTGGGAATCAAACCCAGGTTCTCTGGAAGAGCAGTGAATGTTCTTAACTGCTGAGTCATCTCTCCAGTCCTATCAGTTAAATTACCAAGGAAAATTATCAAGGCAATCATAAACACAAATGCTATATTATTTCTGATAAATATTATTTTTTTATATAGAAAATTAAGCTTTTCATTAAGACAAAAAGCTGCTCTCCCCAAACTGATGGGGAGGGGCATTGCCAAGGACAATACTCACTGCTCTCAATGAACATGGAGAAGTCGAGCTTGTGCCCTCATCCCGACATTCTAGTCTCTTTGGTGTGCAAAGGTACTCTGCAGACTACCAAAAAAGAAACATGGACGCCAACCCAGCCACAAAGCCTTTGACCTACAATTTGTCCTGCTTGAAAAATATGCCAGGGCAATGGTGGCACAGAATGTGTGGGAGTAGTCAACCAATGTCTGATTTGATCTGAGGACCACTCCAGAAGAAGGAATCCACACTTGACACTGCTTGGGTAATCAAGAATCAGATATTAGATAGCCCAAAGATCTAGGGTAAAACCAAACACTGCTGGCCTAAACAACAAAATGCTTCCTTATGATATTCTGCTATACTTATAGACCAGTGCCTTATCCAGTCATCATCAGAGAGGCTTCCTCCAGCTGCAGATGGGAAAAGATGCAAAGAGACATTATGCAGAGAGAGAGAGAGAGAGAGAGAGAGAGAGAGAGAGAGAGAGAGAGAGAGAGAGAGAGAGAAACTAAATTGGAGGTCTCTGTCAAATCCTTCCTTTAGAGCTCAGGAAATCCCACAGAAGAGGAGGCAGGAAGATTACAAGAGCCACAAGGGATGGAGGACACCAGGAGAACAAGGCCCTCTGAATCAACTGGACAAGGTGCATGTGAACCCACAGAAACTGAAGCAGCAAGCACAGGGCTTACATAGGTCCATATCAGGTCCTCGGCATATATATCATAGCTATTAGCTTAGTATTTTTATGGGGTCATGACTGCAAATGAGTGGGTCTCTGACTCTTGTGCATGCTCTTGGGACTCTTCTCCTTTGCATTGCCATATCCAACTTCAATATCACAGTTTTTGCTTCATCTTATACTTTATTTTGTCATGATTGGTTGTTATCTCTTAGAAGCCTGTTCTTTTCTAAAGAGAGACAGAAAGGGGGTGGGTCTGGAGAAGAAGGAAGATGGGAGAAACTGGGAGAAGTAGGGAGAGGAAACAAAAAACACATGAAAAGTGGATTGCAAACCCTTTTTGTTAATAACACATATTTTCAAATTGCTTTTGGAAACTTTATATACTTTAGTAAAATACAAGTTTTGTGATTTCTGATTATACCAACATTACACTAGTGATATGCAGTCCACCAGCAAAACGGAATACTTTGCAGAGCTAAAAAATTAGTATAAAGTTTCGCATATTTAATCACATTTTAATATTTTATAGGGTCACAGTTGCATTCAATGACCGCCTGTAGTAATGGCATAACATTACCCATAAACCAGTCCTCCATGTAAACAGGTATATGGGTGATATAAAAAAGATTATTTCTTCATATAGTATTTTCTGATCATAGTTTTCCCTCCCCCATCTCTTCCTCGATCCTCCCCACTTTCCCACCCATCCAACCCTATGCCTTTCTTCTCTTCAGAAATCAAACGACAACAAACAAACAAACAAACCAATGAACAACATGTAATCTTAGATCACAAACCTTTATATGCATATCACTGAAACATCACAAGTAAACAAAAAGTGGTAGCTACTGCTCCATGATTTTAGAAAGGAGAGCTACAGACAAGGCAGTGGAGTATAAAGACATGGTTATAGGGGTACTCACAAACAAAACAAAGCACACCTGCTCATAGAACATGCCTCCTCACAAAGGCTTTTAAATAAGCTGCACAGAACAGAAATCTCTAATTTCAAACTAAAATTTCTTCTTTAGCTCTATATCCAGCTAAAGACCTAATATAGAATTATAACTGAATCATGTTCCCCCAAAGGTCTGCTTATACCTGGTCCCCAGTATATCTATGACTGCGATCTTATCAGGTTATACTGTGGGTTTTGCAGATGAAGTCGAGTTTCTTCCTGCATTAGTTGTAGACCCTTGGCAACTGTGACCAAGTCTGTATAAGAAAGGAAGAAGAGGGTTGTAGAGATAAATCAGCACAGTGCCAGCTGCACAACATGAAACCTGAATTAGGATAACCAGAGTCCATGGAAAAGCTGGGTGTGGTTTCGTCGGTTCATGTAATTAGTTGGGGTCAGGGGCAGGTAAATTTCTGGCGCTCATTGGCCAGGTAGCCTACCAAAATCACTGAGTTTCAGTTTCAGTGGGAGACCATGCTTCAAAATGTAAGTGGATATTGATCAAGGAAAACATCCAACGTTGAGCTCTGGTCTCCACATACACTGTTCACATGAGCACTCATGTGCACACACCTACACACACACACACACACACACACACACACACACACACACACACACACACACACACACACACACATTGTAGTTTCCTAGTGAGAACTGAGCTTGCTTTACACAGCAGGGCTGCATTAGGGGATTGTTAAACCATGTGCAACCAGGTGTCTGGGATGGTCTACACTTGGCTGTGCTGAGGGGAGGTCTTTTGCCTCACCCCTTGGCATTCCTTTAAAAAGCCCTTTAGCAGAGACAGAAGGGGCTGGTGGGTTTGGACCCAGGCCCTCCCGAGGCTATCCTGGGTTTTCTGTCTGTCTGTCTCTCTATATATATCTATTTACAAATTCTTCATTTCTCCCTGCTCAAGAGTACCTTGGGGGAATAAAAGGGAGCTGGTTTCCTCAATACACACACACACACACACGTATGTTTATATATATGGTGTATACATATGTGTACACACGCACACATATCACAGCACATATGCACACACACAATCTGATTACTGTATTTGGAGCCTCCAGCTTATAGAAGTGTGAGAGACGGTTTTTGTAATTTTAAGTCACTAAGTTTGTGGTAGTTTCTTACAGTGACCTAGGAAACTCTAGATTTCTCTAATCATTTTGACCTATAATGGAACACTTTTTTTTTTTTTCAAATAATTGTGGTCAATATCAAGACAAAATTTAGGCAAGTCTATTCACATCCCAAAATTCCAAATAAAATTAGGAATGTACATAGTTTGCATGAGACTCAGGAAAGCAACCATTGGCAAAATGTTTTCTCAATAGGCAGTTTTGGATAAACCGTATTTTCACATTCTAAAATTTAAGGTTCAAAATTCTTATTGAGATACTCCAATGTGAGAAAATTCATCAGTATAACAGATATACGATGCAAAAGATATTATTGTTTACAAGAGTTGAACTCTTGTAACTATTATAAAAGAAAACTATTTTTACCTCACAAAAGTAGAATAATATATCATCATCTATTGATGGAATTATATGTTAGGCAATTGTTAAGTAACTAAGCTACTATATAAGTAATCTTATCTTACTTAATCTATTTTATTTAATCCTCAAAATTGCACTATTATTAGTACTCATATTTTAAAGCTAAATAAATTGGGATTCAAAGAGAATTAGTAATTTGCACAAGGTCACACAGATGGTGAATGCTGCAGTTGAAGTTAATAGGTCAGTTTGAATCTGTTCCATGAAGCTAATAATTCCTATCTGTATATTCTAAGTGCCCTTTAACTCCTAAAAGTTTTCACTTCTATAAATTGCAACTAATCCTAAAGTCATGGGAGATAAATGAAATAAGACTTCAAATTCCAATCTAAGTGTCTTCAGCTTATTAATGATACCATCATAAATAGAATGAAATTAATCAAGAAAAAGGGGATGGGTTCTTCTTAATATCATGGCGAAACAAGAATTAAAGCTCTCTGACACAGGTGTGTTGTAGTGGCTAAAGAATAATTAAAACTGGACCAGTGCGGTGGCTCAGCTGGTAAGGACTTGCTGCAAAGACTAAGGACCTGAGTGGGAGCCCTGGGACCCACACGGTGGAAGGAGAGCACCAGCTCCTGCAAGTTGTCTGTCTTCTGACCTCCACGTGGGCACTGTGGCACACCTGCCCCACCCCACAAAGAAATGCAAAATGAAAATAGAAACAGTAATGGAAACAAGAAATGGCACATAGATGAGTTTTAAAAGAAAGTTTAAACAGAAATTTGATGGGCTATTAATGGAGAAACATAATCTATAGAACTATCTTTCTGTTATAAATCAGTCAAGTTCTAGTATATTTTAAAAATACTTAAGTGGTTGGCTATAGTAAACTAAAAAAAGATGTAAAATTCTGTGGGAAAAAAAGATTTAGAAATGGTGACTTAGCAAAGTATTTAAAGGTTAAATAAGGATACTCCTGCTCCCTTGAAAAATTGGCAGATGGGTGCGGGTGGCTCTGGACACCTATCTTACGGCTAGTAAATATGAGACAGCTTCCTCAGCAGCTCCTAAGTTCAGGTATGCCTCTGCCGGAAGTGTAGTGAGCACATACCACCCTACTGCTGTCACCATGGGGCAGGGGCAATACAGCGGCGTGGGAGTTGGTGATCAGGATTTGATGCCCCCAAAGTTTTCCAATTAAACACAAGAATTAATTTTGATTCTCCTAAAAGAAAACACCTAAGCTGTACCCTGGGCTTTTTTTTTTGAACATTTACAGTCTCCTTTAGTTACAGAAAGCATTGCTCCAGGTCCAGCTGCAGAGTAGATCTGTGTTTACTTGAAGACCTTAGGCCTATGAGCTGAATTAAAATTAGAAAACGCAAAGGCTGACTACAGTTTTTATATGTGAAATTCTCAACTTTCCTCACGTTTTAAAGAGGTTATTTTTTATTTCTTTTTATTTTCATCTACTTGAGTTTTTATTTTTCACGAATGTGAAAAAGGTAAAAGACTACTTATGTTTTTAAAAAGAACTGTCAGTTTTTATCTAGGTAAATGGTCCCTTAATAACAATGTATTTAATTTCTATTTTGAAGATGGCAGTCTGGTCTACAACCCTTACTCCTCTGAAAATTAGAGCATTTGCCAGAAAATTACCTTGAAGCTCAGGGAACACTTCTGATGCTGTAGAAGGACAAAATAAAATGCTGGGTGGGATATAATGTGACGGATTTCTGACTCTCTTGAATACTTGTTAAAAATAAGAGAGAAAAATGCTGAAGTGATAACTTAATAAATGATATATACAACTCTCAAATGAAAAGAAAATAATTAAATCTCAAAATATATTTAGATTTTAGTTATATATGTCCAAGATAGATACAAGAGACTGAGTGTCAAATGTGGGTAGTTAATCTCTGTTACTCAAATCGTCACTTTGTACCCACGGATTTAACATCTCCTCAGCCTGTATAATACCGTGGGTGGGGGATAAGCACCTTAACATAGTTTCTGATGTGCAACAGTGCTAACGGAAAGAGGAAAGTGAGGAGACGAGAAACAGACACGTTAACAACAACTCTTTTTCTCTAAAATCCCATAATTCTACTTCATTTTTAAAGTTAAGAAACGGAAAACTCATTCCACAAATATTTCATTGCTTGCCTCCAAAAAATTGTTGACATCCTCTGTGGCCATCTGCCAAGGTGGGCCTTTCTCTGTGCTTGATGGAATTAGAAGAGTTTCAGGGTTCTGTGGGTTGAAGGAAGAAGATATTCTGTGCTCTTGATTTCTTGTATTTATTTTCTTGGTTCTGTTAAAAAGCAAACAAGGGTAAATTTACCAACTTTGAACAGTTATTCTATATATATTAATATTCACATTCAAATTAAGTGTAAGCTTTTTTATGAGGTTAGCTTAGAATCATATAATCTGAGTTTTAAATATAAATTATGTGCTAATAGTATGAGTAATAAGGAGCTGTAGGACTCCGGTGACATGACTCCCATGCTTCACACTAAGAGAAAGCAACTCCACCAGCCTCCACTGGATCCAAGTGCAGCTGAGCCAACCTGGATCCAATGTACTGTTGCTTTCATCCAAATACCCGAGGGGGAAAAATGCTTACTGAGGCAAGCCAGTGAATTTTTAGTGGTTTGTTCTACTGACGCTTCCTCTACTTGTACAGATAATGAAAATGAATGGTAACGACTATCTTGTATAAACTTCCACAAAGATCTAATTGGTGGAGATGGGATATGAAACAGATCAGGTCTGATTTAAGAATCTATATTTTAACAGATATGCTAGAGTCCAATTACACTACATTGGTTAGATTATTTGATATTTAATTATCTATAAATATGACAATGGTATATATTTAAATTTATAGTCTATAAAACTGTCAAAAGACAAAGTTAACCTACAGTCTGGAGTAAAATATTTTTATCTTGAGAAATTAGTAAATAAGATATAATATATTTTTAGTCATTCACAATAATAGACATCTTTGGGATTGCTTCCTAACATCAAATGCTGGCCCTTAATGCTGACATGGTAATTCACAAATCTACTCCTGGTCCTTGAGAGAAAATTAAGTCATATTCAAAATATTACAACAATAAAGTTAAACGCTTGTTGTGTGATCCCTAACTTATATCTAGCTTTCAATAGCTATATACGAGCAACTTAGACATGTGATCCAAGCTGCACAGTAACCAACCACTTATTTATTTCTGAAAAAAAAATACTAGAACATGACTGCTTTTTAACTAAGATAAATAGTTCTATAGATTATGTTTCTCCATTAATAGCCCATCAAATTTCTGTTTAAACTTTCTTTTAAAACTCATCTATGTGCCATATCTTGTTTCCATTACTGTTTCTATTTTCATTTTGCATTTCTTTGTGGGGTGGGGCAGGTGTGCCACAGTGCCCACGTGGAGGTCAGAAGACAGACAACTTGCAGGAGCTGGTGCTCTCCTTCCACCGTGTGGGTCCCAGGGCTCCCACTCAGGTCCTAAGTCTTTGCAGCAAGTCCTTACCAGCTGAGCCACCGCACTGGTCCAGTTTTAATTATTCTTTAGCCACTACAACACACCTGTGTCAGAGAGCGTTAATTCTTGTTTCGCCATGATATTAAGAAGAACCCATCCCCTTATTCTTGATTAATTTCATTCCATTTATGATGGTATCATTAATAAGCTGAAGACACTTAGATTGGAATTTGAAGTCTTATTTCATTTATCTCCCATGACTTTAGGATTAGTTGTAATTTATAGAAGTGGTTAGAGTAAATTAAGAAAAGATGTAAATAATGGGTAAAGGAAAATTCTGAGAAAAAAATGGCAGAAACAATGACTTAGTAAAGTATTTAAAGGTTAAACAAAGATGTTCCTGCTCCCCTGAACTGCTGGGTGGATGGCTCCAGGAAGTTCACAAGGTTCAGGTGTATCAGTGCTGGAAGGCAGCCATGGAGAATTAACTCTTCTTGGCTTCACGCAGTGACTGCATGGGGCACTGTTTAGAACTGGGAGGCAAGGACAATGCCACTGCTTTGGTGGTAAAAGTTTACCAAGAACTGAAGAATATTTTCAAATATGATACATAGATGATATGATGAGAAAATGTATTTAAAGAAGGTGAAAATATAGATTTGTACAACCAGACCAATCCAAGTATACACCATATATACCCTCACATCTCCTTTCTTTCTGGCATGGCCATCCCTTGCCTTTCCCATTTTACAGATACTCTGCATATTTTAAGTCTGAGAGCATTTTTCAACATTCTGTAGGGTAGCACACTATCCACTTCAGGCCTACTGTTTGGGAATACAACCCACCCAAAACTCAGAGGAAAAGGCAAGCTGATCTTTGCTCCCCTGCAGAGATGACTGGTAATGAATTTTTCTTTAAAGTCAAATTTTATTTAATAACGCAATTCAAGCTCGTGGTGGTGAGCACAGAAGAAAAATGTTTCACTTCCTCTTCCCACAGAGAAACAACCACAAATGCACTCTTGTACGGCTCCTTCTATACATCTTATTCACCTGCCTTCTGAACTCTTGGGGACAGATTACTTAGTGAGTCAGAGTTTCTCAAACCTGAGAAAGGAATTTTGATAGATTTGCTATACAGTAGCAAATACCAGCCAATGCCAGGCAGCAATCCATAATTAACATTTCTACAGTCAACGTTTAGTCTCTGACAGGAACATAATAAGTCTGCCTAAAATTCATTTTGATATCAAAGTGCTCTTAGTATATTTCCATCTTAGTTTTTAGCTATAAATGAGTTAACAGAAAAAGAATTTTATATTTCAGATCTTTTGTGCCTTCAGAATGGTTATTATAGACATGTATTAACTCTATCCATGGAACCACAATATGTTATATATAGATACAATGAAAAATTATCATCTTAAACTTATTTATTCAGATGCTATACTATGAATGGAATATAACCTTGTCTTCAGTCCTAATGTTCAACAACTCAATGACTAAAAACTGTAAGGACAGGACTTTTGGGGGCTGGGGAGATGGCTCAGTGGTTAAGAGCACTGACTGCTCTTCCCGAGGACTTGGGTTCAATTCCCAGCATCTACATGGCAGCTCACAGCTATCTGTAACTCCAGTTCCAGGGGACCCGACACCCATGGCAGAACACCAATGCACATTAGGAAAAAAAAAAAAAAAAGGAACAGGACTTTTAATTCCTCACTAAACATAGGTAGTGATTTATCACCCACAAGTGTCCAGTTTTTTCTGGGTTTGCATATACTCCCTGCAAGCAGCTTCTATAGAGAATTCAGGTACCGAGTCAAATGAAGATATATAGGGACATGTGGAACTACTCATTTACCATCTTCAACTACTGCCTCTTACATCATGCCTGGCACTGCATTCAGATGTACCCCATCAGGTACATACTCTGCATTAAAATAATTAAAAATTATTCACATCACATAACACACTATTGGAGTAGTTTTCTTCACATTTCTCAATTTTCATTTCCCACATTTTCTTTTTAAAATTTTTACATATTTATCATAAAATAAGTAACGTGTAAAGAAATGCATACATTTTAAATAAAATTTGCCCATCTAGGCTGACAATACTCTCTCCCTTGTAAGAGTCAAAGACCATGTAACAGAAAACCTTGATACCAGGTATGTATGATAAGCCCCCTTTTGAGCTATTGGTCAGGGCTGCCCAAGAGACTCTCAAACATTACAAGCTCTTGCCCTTTGTTGCCTCCCAGAGGTGAAAGATAAGTCTCTATTGATGAAGACAGAACATACTTCAGATGCAGGGCGCAGATGCCCCTGAGCTGGGCTGATCTGAAAGACTCCCTGAGGACTAACTTTCATGGTACCAGAAGGCACAACGGAAACTTCCAAAGGAAGGAAGCAATGAACAGTCCCACACGGCTATGGCACTTATGAACTACAACAGCGCATGGCCCAGCAACCCAGAGAGTGCAGGAACAGTAGGCATACTTCGGTGGTTTCCAAAAGGTCTCTAATTGGACTTAAATTCCATTCAACAAGAGAAAAACCATGCCTGATACTGGAAACTGAGCCAACTACCCAGAGCTAGTAAAATCATGAATCTTGGAGGAGAATTTACAAGCACCACTTTCCTAAACCAGAATAATCCCTTACTACATTCTAAATATTTGTCATTATACTAACAGGTGTCATTCTCACCCCACATCAGGGAAACTTTTCTTTGTAACAGACAGAGACCACTACAGAAAAGCACAACCAATCAAAATCCAGAGGTGTGGAACCTGTCCCAGTGCAAATATCTAGAATACAACTCTGACAGCTAAGGCTTAGGGAACACTGCAGAAGAGGAGGAAGAAAAACTGTAAGAAATAGTCTTTGCAGAGGAGAGCATTGAAAAAAACACTTATAAGTAATATTATATAGATCAAACAGATTGTATTTATATATTTAGCAACACACACACAAACACACACGTAACAAAAATTAATGAAAAAAGGAAGCTATGAATTTGAAATAGAGCAAGGAAGGGCATATGGGAAGGTTGGAAGGAGGAAAGGGAAGGGGGAAAATGAAGAAATTATAGTCTCAAAAAACAAAAGAACATAAAATTCTTGCAAATGAATAAAAAGATCATACACAAACAGTAACCAGACTCCAAATCTATGCAACATGAACTTCTATACAACAACTCAATTAACTTGGAGTAAGAACAGACATTTGTAATGGGAGCTATGGAACTTTATAGTATATTTTCCACTTTCAGTATATGTATTTTATGCACTTATCCACCCAAACCAAAACATCTATCACAGAATTAGAACAGCAATTAGCTTTATATCATTTTTTATAATGTGTCCATTTCTGCATTCCTTCCTTCCTCAATCCTTATATTTATCATTTCTTCTTCTCTTTTCTTGTTATATTGTGCCCACATATACGTTTGCTTCATATAAACACCAATAAGTGTATAGATACCTCTCTAAAAAGCATTATTCAAATGCATGTGAAGTCAGGGGTTAAATATGGATGTTGTTTATCAGAAGTCACACCTTCTTTTGTTAATTCTTTTATTTTTTGACATTATAATATATTCTGGCTAGTTTTATGTCAACCTGACACAAGCTAAAGTCATCACAGAGGAGTGAGCCTCAATTGAGGAAAAACATTGAAAAGATAGGGCTGTAGAGAGCCTGTAATGCACTCTCTCAATTAGTGATTGATGGGGGAGGGCCCAGATCATTGTGGGTGAGGCCACCCCCAGGCTCATGGTCCTGGATTCTATAAGAAAGCAGGCTAAGCAAG